ATAATAGCCAATTAAAAAGTATCATAAAAGGTATAAAATAACATTACAAGGCAAACTGCAGCATCAAATCAACTTAATGTGTCTTAGAAAGTAAGGAAATGAAAACAATTTAAAAACCATCTGTTTTGTAAACAAAGCTCCTCAACCAATGACAGCGTGTTAAATGTGTCAGGTGACGAAGACGAGTGTCAACACACTTCAAGTGCTATTCCGGATTAAAAAAACATACTTTGACGTTTCAAATCATTATCAAATTTGGAACAAGAGCAGATAAAATAATGTTCTTCATGGCAGCTCATCTCTTTAAGGGGTCACTAAAAAAAACCAGGTGATTTACTTTGATCCTGTTTTCAAAAAAATTCTCTCTTCAAAACACATCGAAAAAAATTACAAACTCGAAGACGAGGCTGTAGCTAACTACCTGACTAACTACCTGACGGCAGTACGATTTGTTGAAATTCCTAACGAAGCAGGAGGAAATAACAAGCAAACACTCAGAGCAGCCTTGAACAGTCTGGTCACAGCAGTTTGGGAAGAAAATGGCAGCAGCTGCTGACGAAATGTCAACATCCCTACAATATAAAACACAGAATCTCACTGAATTTGCTCATTTGGGGTTTTTGATGTATTTTGGACGCAGCTGCTTCYTGCACCTGCCATTACCTGGTTTATTTATTTAATTACTTATTCACTTTCAAGACAACATTTTTATCTTTGTTTAATTTGAGTTGAAATAAAATGCCTGAGAAACGTTCTAGGGGGTCAAATGAATAATTTTCATTTAATAATCAGTTGTTCTACATTACATTTTCAGAGAATCATCGTTACGTTTGACTGAAGGGGTGCTAGTAGTATGACAAAATGACAAGGGGTACACAAGTCTAAAAAGTTTGGGAACCACTGATGAAGACAACCAGATCAAAACCTTCTGAAAACCAGGTGGGCATCGCCCTCTTCTTGTTCTCTGGACAAAGGCAGAGGTTAATCCTAACCAATGTGATAAGCTAATTTCTGATCTGTTCTAGGGCTGGAACAATACACCAACCCACATTAATATATTGATTTAAATGAATWATGATTCAGTTACATCAAGGCAAAACAAAAACATGGACCCATATAGTCCTCATTTGTCCATATCAACCTCAGACTTATGGATGAAATCTTTGTGACATCAAGAAACATATCATCCAAACAAATCAATATAATGTTTTGTGATGAAGCTGGTGATTTACAGCCCTACTAAAGAACAATACATACTCCATCTGAAGCTGTAAAATCAGCCCTCATTGTTGTAGTTCTGATGAAAATTACATCATGTTTGCAGAGCAGCCCCTTCCGGACACAAGACCCGAGCTGAACTTTTTCTCACAGTTTAAAATGAATATATGTGTGATTGGTCAGTAGTTTGTGGGCATGTTTCGTTTCAATTCAGTTCAGTTCAGTTCAGTTTATTTATACAGCACCAAGTCACAACATATGTTGTCTCAGGGCACTGTACGTAAAAAGAACGATCTAAAGAAGAAACCAGCAGATTGTGTTGAATCACTTCATCACAGTCTCCCATCCTGAGCAAACGGTGGAGAGGAAAAACTCC